CCTTTCTTCTGCCAACTTTGGGCTCAGTTTGTTCTAACTTTTGAGATCTATTCTCTTAGGAACTTTCAAATATCCAACATAGTATTATTAACTTCAGTCACCATGCTGTACTTTACATCCCCACTTTTTAACCCCCAGTTATTTTATAACTGAAAGTTTGTATCTTTTGAGTGTTTCATTATTCTTATCAGCAAGTGAGCTATCTGCTTTCTAAATCCCCTACCTCTCTGAGTAGTACCAGAAACCTGGGATACAATGTCAGTTCTTTCTGATAGCATTGCTGCCTGCATGCCTTTCAAATCCTCTTTGCCAATTTCATAGCTATCACCACAACTCAGGCTTTCATAAGTTCTCATTTTGTTATTTTATTAGTTTTCTAACTGGTTTCTCCATGTTTCCAGTCTTGGCTACCTCTTCCCTACCTAATAAATCATCTTCCACACTGCTGCTGAAGTAATTCTTCTCCAACCTTAAGTAATCCATTAGTTTTCCATTATTTCCGGGATAGAGTTCAAACTTCTAAGCAGTTTATAAAACTATCATATACATTTCCTATTTCTCCCACCACATTCCCACACACCATCACCTTGCTTCCAACATATTTACTTATACACTATACTTACCTTTATAGCTATAGGCAAGGAAATATATACAAACATACATGCTCCTTTTTCTGGAGCATACTTTTGTCCCTTCTTAGTGTGGCCAATTCCTACTGGTTCTTCAAGACTCATGTTGAGCTTTACATTTTATGAGAAGTATTTCCTGTTTAACATGATTGAGTGAAGCCTTTTTCCTCCGTATTTTAGGAATAATCTTGATTTTGCTTCTTATTGCCATCCTAATATTTCATTTGGTCGTCTATATCTTTCTCAAAACTTGATCCTCTTGAGGGTAGGAAATATGTTTTTCATCTTAGAAGGTTACAACCTACTAGCACAATAGACCTGCAGATGCAAACACAGAAAAGGTAAATAATAAGACAAGATGGCTTATGGACACACCCTGAAAAGTAAAAGAGCCATCAATTCTAGAGGAAATAAGAAGAGCCACTGTGGAGAAATCAGGACCCGTATTCATCTTTGGTGAGAATGTAAAATTGCATAGTCACTTTAGAAATAGTCTGGCAGTTTCTCAAAAGGTTAAACATAGATTTACCATATGACTCAGCAATTCCACTGTTAAGTATATATCTGAGAGAAATGAAAACATATGTTGACACAAAACTTGTATATTAATGTCCATGGAAGCATTATTCATAAAGACCCAAAGCGAAAACAACTAAAATGCCCATAAACTGATGGATTTATCAATTAACTTTGAAAACATGATGCAAAGTGAAAGAAGCTGTTATAAAAGAATACATCTATATATATATAAAAGGCGAAGTGACTGACTATCCGTCTGTCTGTCCGACTGACCAACTGACTGACTGGTACATATGACGCATATTGGCAATTTAAAAATAAATGTTGACTCGTGTATGCACAATACATATAAAGCTCTTGCTGGCACCAATAGCACGTGTGTGTTTTGATCTGTCATTGTCGATCGTGAATTTGGTTGTTTTTGTTGCATTTGGTGGGAAAGTTCTTCTCGGAAGGGATTTTCAACAATGTCTCAGTGTTGTGCTGCATGTTATGCATTTGGCCATAGTACAAATGAGTTTAAAGGGATGTTTCAAACAGTCGTCTCTTAAAACAAATATGAGATCAGAGGATTCTGCTTATAGTGAATGGTTAGTAAAACTTGATAGCAGTTTTCATTTTGGAATGGATATTATTGAAATCCCCTGTGAAATGATTTGTAATGGATCTATTATTGAAGCTACCTTTGAAAATTGTATATCTATAGATAATATTAAAAATATATCTAAACGTGTGATTCTTTGTCCTAAAAATGAGCACATTCATAAATTAAATGAAGAAATTTTGGATATACTCAATGGAGATTTTCCACATCTATTTGAGTGATGATTCCATTGATTCAATGGATGATGCCGAAAAGGAAAATTTTCCCATCGAATTTCTTAGTAGTATTACTCCTTCAGGAATGCCATGTCATAAATTAAAATTGAAAGTAGGTGCAATCATCATGCTACTGAGAAATCTTAATAGTAAATGGGGTCTTTGTAATGGTACTAGATTTATTATCAAATGATTGTAACCTAACATAATCAAAGCTGAAGTATTAACAGGATCTGTGGAAGGAGTGGTTGTTCTGATTCCAAGAACTGATTTGTCCCCGTCTAACACTGGCCTCCCATTTAAATTAATTCGAAGACAGTTTCCCGTGATGCCAGCATTTGCGATGACTATTAATAAATCACAAGGACAAACTCTGGACAGAGTAGGAATATTCCTACCTGAACACATTTTCAGACATGGTCAATTATATGTTGCTTTCTCTTGAGTTCGAAGAGCATATGACGTTAAAGTTAAAGTTGTGTAAATACTTCATCACAACAGAAATTAGTCAGGCACTCTGAAAGTGTTTTTACTCTTAATGTGGTATACAAGGAGATATTAGAATAAGTTTAATCAATTTATTAGTCATTGTTTTTATCAATGTTGTTTTTATATCATTGTTTTGTTTTTATATCATGTTTTTGTTTTGATGTCATTTTTGTTTTTATATTATGTCTTTATTGTTATATCATGTTGTTATTGTTTATTAATCAATTTATATATTATTTTCATATACGTTTTACTAATTTTCTCTTATCTCTAACACTTCTATTATAGAGAAAGGGTGAATAGCCATATTAACATATTTCTTCTAATTAATTTCCTTTCAGTGTGCATGAATCTGTGCACTGGGCCACTAGTATTGTATAATTCCCTTCACATGAAATATCCAGAATACGCAACTCTACCTTGATATAAAGTGGATTATTGGTTGCCTAGGAATGAAGTAGAGGATAAGAGGAATGGGGGTGGCTGACAAAGTATATAAGGTTTCATTTTGGGGTGATGAAAATATTCTAAAATTGATTGTTGTGATAGTTGCAGGACTCTGTGACTATATTAAAACAATTGAATTGTACATTCAATAAAAAAAGGCACAGATTATTGTGGGGAGGGGAGGAAGACTTCATGGAGTTGGCAGGATTTGAATGCACTGATAAACAAGTGATGGGAAAAGCAGAGGGAGTGTGTTATAGTGAATAAACAAACCTGTCGGGCAGACTTGGCTTTGAATCCTGCTTGCCCTTTGGTCAAATTACTCTCCCTTATGTTTGTATCCTCATCTAAACAAGTGAATATATTTATATACTTATTTTTGAGAATTATGGTAGTGACAAATTAGATAATGGATTTATGTGCTAATGCCTGGCTCATAGCAAATGCTTGGTAAATATTATCTTTTACTATTATAATAAATCTGTTTAATAATACTTAATATTGGATTAGGTGGGACAAAATGAACATGTAGATATGTTAGTGGAAACACCCAGAAACTCATCTGAAGTTTCCGGCAGAAAGTGATTGGGGACACATAATAATATAAACGTGATTGTACTCAGTTTAAAAGCATTTATTGTATACCTTTCTTCTAACCACTAGACACTGTGCTAGACTACTGGATATCCAAATACAAATAAGAAGTAGATTGCTGTATATAGAAATGAGAAGTGGTCTTTGACTTGGTGGTCTAGTAGACGGGTAAACATATATGTGTAAGAAAGCAGAATATTTCCTGTAATAGAAATCTGTTTGCTATGTACACAAAATAGGAGGTGGGAAGGAAAAGGGGTATAGAAGAGGTGACATTTGTGTTCAACATTGAAACTGCTCACTAACCACTTGAGCCTGCCACTGGAGGATTATAGGATTTCTTTTTGACATATGCCAGTACATAGCAGAGATTATTACTGGTTTGGCCAGATTTGTTCTATGTAAAGATGAGAAAATACTGTTCCCCAAAATGTTAAAGAATGCCTGGTATACAATTAATGTGAATATTCCAGAGACTTACTAGTATGTTCAAAGTTCCCAAGTAACTTGTCTTTCTTTCTCAATAGACTTTAAACTCCAGAAAGCAGAGATCTTGAGTGGATACTGTTCACTCTGGGATTGCCACAACCTGGCTCAGGGCTGGCATATAGTATGTACTCAATAAAAAAAATGGTTCAAGGAATGTTCTCCAGATCCCTCCCATGTCAAAATGGAAGAATCTTTCACAAGTGGCCTGCTAGTTGACTGTTTCTGACAGCTACTGACAATCTGAAATAGACCATAAATCTATATAACCATGCTTTCTTTCAAATAAAAGTCTTATCAGTTATGTCATTCTCTTTCTCCTGGAGAAACTATTTGCCTGGAGGTTTAGAAAAAAGAGCGTAGCTTAGCAGCTGAAAATACACAGTCTCTGAAACAGAGATGGCATGTATGAATTGCTGTGTTCTGGAGTTGAGGACAAGAAGTAATTATAGAGCAGATTGCTTTGAAGTCACATAGTATTGGTCTGAAGAGGCTCTTGGCTTAGGTGCATCCCCTAGGTTGAGAGTTCAGATATTCAGAGATGAGATGGCGCAGCTGTCCAGTCAACTGTTTCTTGAGCACGTAACTCCGTGTCACCCACTTAGCTCAGTTGCAATTTTTATTGAGCTCTGCTTGCCGGTGGTGAAAAGATTAGGCCTGACTCTTCCCAAGGACAATCCCATATGGGCGCGGGCGTCATTCTGGGGATGATTTTATTTGCATGGATTAGGCATAGAAACAGGGCCTGCCACTTAGGCAGTTAACTAACAGGAAGCAGCTCCTGAATCACCCCCTTTTAGACAGCAACCCCCTGCGGACCACTGAAGCCACGAGTGCCTGGGCTGAGAGCACGGTACCCGGTACCTGGTGCTCAGCCTCAGTCTGGGACCACGTGACTCTCATGCTGGCGTGAGTGACGCGCGCAGCGTTGGGCGGGCCTTGGAGGAAATCAACTTCCGGGGGCAGAGGTGTTCCAAGCCGGGTGGTGTGTGGGCTCCCCCAACGTGTGTGGCTGGGGCCGAGGTCACACCGACGGGTCCGGGGTCGTCCCCCGGGTGTGCACGTGCGCGTCTGTGTGCTGGGGGGTGGCTCACCTCACGGCGTGCTGAGCAGCGCGGCGGCGGCGGCGAGCGGGAGCGGGAGCGGGAGCAGGTAAATGGACGCTCGCCTTCTGGGTCTGGGTCCGGGAACCCGGGCCGCGTGAGGCGGCGGTGCGCCCGGAGGCGGCCTGGGCGCGGGCAGGGAACGCCCCACCGGGCCGGGAGCTCGCCGGGCTGCCGCCGCCTCCCGCCCCGGCCTCGCCCCCGGAGGTGGAGGTGACCGGGGGGCGTGCCCGCTGGGCTGGCAGCCGGCCCCGCCCCCCTCCCCGCGCAGGGAGCGCCCACCTGCGCTGGCCGTCGCCGGCGGGTCCTGGCCCCTGCACACTCCCGAGGCCGACGCTTTCGACAGTCTAAGCACACGTACACGTGATGATGGTGTCACGGAAACTCCCACCGAACGGGGCTGGTCCTTGTCGTGTTTCCACCGGGCGCTCCTGGCGTCTGTTTCCCCTTCGACTTGGCCAAGTCCACGGGGCCAAAGGTCTGCTCCGTCCTGCAGCCACGTGTTGCAATAAAAGCGGCACTTTTCGGGGTTCAGGCAGGAGGCAGTACGTTGCCAATTGGCGAGGCATCCTCCGTTCCCATGCGTGCGCCCCCTTTCCCCGCAGTAAAGATGATGCTTCCGGCTGCCCCTGTTTTGCACTGCGGAGGAGAACTCGGGACATAGAGTCTATTTTGGGCTTCACTTGAAGGAGTGGCAGCTCTATTAAAAGCTCACGGAGTGTCTTTTTGATGGGATGATGATGATGTTGCTGCTGCTGTAGCTACTCTCACTTGCTCCCTGGCGAGCGCTGGGGCAGAGCCTGATTTCCTGGAGGGTAAAGTGCTGGCTGCAGCTGCAGGTGACTCAGCGGCCCCTTGAGAATTCCCACTCTTTTCCTTCCCTCCCTGTCTGAACCGGACAGACATTTATGCCACCGTCCTCTTTAAATAGCAGAGAGGTAGTCGGATGGTGGCTTTTGGAAATAGTTTGCATGTTCCGTGATGGAGTGATTGGGGGTGGGCTGACATTTTATCTTGTCACTGGGATGGACTGACATTTCACCCAACAATGTAAGGCCAAATACTCAGAATATGTAGTTCGCTGGGGTGACAGGGGCTGACAATAAATTATCTTTGTTCTGTGCCATAGGAGAGCTCCGCACTTCTAATCATCCCATTTGCCCTCTGCTGCAGTTTCTGTTGCAGTGAGGGTTAGGGTTAGGGCTTTACTGTACCTGTTAGGTAAATGGGAGATTGGGGGCGGGGGGGGGGGGGACGGAGGGCGGGGAGAGGGCTGTGATGCCAGGGAGAGTGTACCTGTGTGGCTAGTCAGTAAATTGTGTGGTAGAAAATTACCCTGATTTACAAAGTTTGGTATCCTCCGGGCAGGCTAGGAGGTAGTTCTGTGGGCAGGGATATCTTATTGTGAACTGGTTACTTAGCAAAGCCAAATGGAATAATCATAAAAAAAACAAAAGTGATGAAAGTTACAAGTTATCTCTTAACATTTATTAAATAAAAAATGTATCTCATTGAATTGATCAGTTCAAAACCTGAGAGTTTTTTTGTTTTCTTTAATCATTTTAGTATACTTAATGCCAGGCAAAAAGAAAGTGCAGAGAGTCATCACAGAGGGAACAGCACCTTTGTTGGGGGCGGGGCGGGGACAGTAAAAAAAGAAGAAAGCTGGTTACAAATTTATTTAGCTGGTTGTAGCTTAAATGGACAAATAGGAATTTGCCTAATAGACATTTTATCTTGTATCTCTAGCTGTAGATGTAAGATTTGTATATAGGATTGTTATGAATAAAAAAAGCTATTTGAAGGTTTATTGTCTTTTGATAGCAGAGGTTGGGGTGGGAGTGCATTGGGGTGGACAAGACCTTTTCCAATAGTAAATTGGGAGGGGAGTGTTTAGGTAAGTTGTTTCCAAAATATAGCTCATAATCACAATGCTCAACCTGTTCCTTGTGACTTTTGGCTTCTTGAAAGCTCATCAAATTTTGTCATTTTGCTGTCCCAATAATGAGAACTTTAAAAAGGCACTTCTCTTTACATTAACTCTTTGTATCAATATATGTTTTCCCCACTCAAATGAACATTTAATCTTTATGTGTAACTCTGATAATATTTTTTTAATTGATTCTTTGAAATGTGGCTTTTCTCTTAGTGTATGCAATTTTCTTCAAATTTTTAAAGATTGCCTCCTTGTTTCATTTGATGTTCTTGGAATTTGTCTCCCAGGCAATTTATTGTGATAGATTTTGGAGAAAAATGCGATAGTCAGTATCATTGACTTTTTTTTGGCATCATGTTAAGGTAGAATCCTAGAATTTCAGAAAGTCAGAGTTCCTTAGACTTTAGTTTATTTTACAGATTTAGAGTCTGGAATAGTTAAATGACTTCTTTACCATTAAGCAAAATTTTATCGTTAAGCAAATTAATGAATAAATATGAGACAATATCAGTTATTGCTAAAATGTTTACCCAGGTTTATGTCCTTTTATATTTTTAATTTTAAGTTAGTGTAGACCAGTGATTGTGAACCTATGACATGTGTGTCAGAGGTGACATGCGAACTCATTTTTTTGGTTGATTTTTCTTTGTTAAATGGCATTTAAATATATAAAATAAATATCAAAAATATAAGTCTTTGTTTTACTATGGTTGCAAATATCAAAAAATTTCTATATGTGATATGGCACCAGAGTTAAGTTAGGGTTCTGTGCCATAGGAGAGCCCCGAGCTGACACGCCGAGCTCAAAAGGTTTGCCATCACTGGTGTAGACCCTTCTTGACCTGTAACCTGTCCCTTTCCTGTCATATCCCTAATAAATGTACAAAGAGTCTTGTTGGCTATATGCCATAGAATCCTACTTAAAGAATTATGGATACATTTACTGTCAATAGCAGAGGACACAACAGTTTTTTTTTTTTTTTAATTTTGAAATGAGAAGCATTTTTTAAATTACAGGTTTAGTAGATGAAGATCAGTGATAGTGTTAGCTGTTTTAAAGTGTAACATGTTATAATCCTAGTAAAACTGTTTTCCTTAGACAGGTATGCCCACTTTAGTATTAACATAGTACAGTCCAACACACAATAGTTAAGTAGACTGACTATATGAATGAAATAACTACTCTCTTATAAAGTGTGAAATCACTTTTTCCTGCTGTTCAGAGAAGATTGACTTTTTTCCCCCCTTTGCCAGCCCTACAAACATAGACCATGTGCATCTCTTACCAAAAGTAGGCCTAGATAATGGAGAGGCCAACCAAATTGCCTTTTATGTTGTGTCCAATCTTGTGGTAAAAGAAGATCTACATGATCATTTCAAGATGCTTTGGTTTTATGGGAATTCAGAACTTTTGCAATTGAACTAAAGATAGGGCTGCAGTATTATGCAAGATCCCTTAATCTATGAATATGCTTCGGTGATAGACAGAGGCTTACCTGAATATTACTAAAAAATTACATGCTTAGACATCAGTAAAATATTGTGATTAAAGATGAGTTTAAATTTCATCATTTAAATTAAATTACGAATTTAATAAAGACAGCTTATAAAGAGTTTATACTTTTTATTTATAGTTTGCCTAAATTGGGTATGAAAAATGGAAAATAAGCTTGCAAAAGCTGAATGGCATTAAATGGGCCACCCTGAATCGGAAGACAAGTTGAAATGAATACTTGTGTTCTATTCTGCTGAATGGGGAAACTGTTTAATAACTGGGTTTCATGAGGCATTAGTTAATTTAAGTTTCTTCTCTTGTCTGTTATGAGAAGAGACATTTTGTTAACTTCTTTTTAGGACCAGTTTTGCTTAAAGTGAATGGTTTTTTAAATGTCACTTGCTTATTTAGTATATGTGATTTGTTTCAGTTACCATGTTAAGAATAGTTGTATAGTACCTTTGGTTGCAAGAACCTTTTTTTTTTTTTAAATATATTTTATTGATTTTTTACAGAGAGGAAGGGAGAGAGATAGAGAGTTAGAAACATCGATGAGAGAGAAACATCGATCAGCTGCCTCCTGCACATCTCCTACTGGGGATGTGCCCGCAACCCAGGTACATGCCCTTGACCGGAATCGAACCTGGGACCTTTCAGTCCCCAGGCCGACGCTCTATCCACTGAGCCAAACCGGTTTCGGCAACCTTTTTTTTTTTTATGAGACGTTATCTTCATTGGCATACTGAGTTGATTTTCTGTATATCCAAAGCTGGGTGTTATTGCTCTTGCTTCTTTTGTTATCAATAGGAGAAAAAAATAATGCCACAAGATTATTATTCTCAGATTCTCAGTGTCACAATAATGAACATAAAAGATGACTCCCATATGATTGATTAGAAGTGTTGTGATCACTCAGAGTCTGCTCAGATTGCAAAATGTTGTTTTATTGTATAATTCCAGTATATATAAGTAGAAAATCTTTTGAACAAAGTGAAATAACATATAAATAAAAATTTTGGATGGTTATTTTTCTTCTCACATAGAAGGGCCATGGATATTATCATAGTTACTTTCATCTGAGCAAAATAATTAAGCACATAGTTCACAGTGGTGAATTGGTAATCATAAGGCTGGATCTGATTCTTTAATTAGCATATACTTTGTTTCTCACTTTAAGAAACATACCAGAGTACATTTGTTGAAGTTGTGTGTGTGTACATACTTCGGGAAGTACACATTGGGAAGTAAACTTTGGGAAGGTTTTGGCAAATATTTCTTCAAATATTTTTGAAATATTCTTTTTATCCTCTTCCCTCTCTCTTCTTCTGGGACTCCCATAGTGCATATGGGAGGAACATGATTGGAAAATTGGTGACAAGGACATCTGAGTAAGAGGTATGCAGGCAGACCTCTCTGAATGGGACAAAAAGTGAAGATATCGGTGTTCCATGTGAATGCTCATCAAAGTAAGAGGTCTTAATTCCAAAGGGAGTAATGCTTCCACAGGGTAACTGCATCAGAGTAGTATTTTAATAATCAAGTAGAGAGGATGACTGGGTATCAGACAGACTCTTTCCCCAGCCATACCTGTCAATGCCCAGTGGGCTCATGAAAAACGTGGCCATGCTGTCAGGGATGGAGGTTACAGAAACACTCAGCAACATAGACTTCAGCTCATCAAAACCTGCCTGGCTGTGCCCACTGCTGAATGCCTAATCTGCCAGCAGCAGTGACTAACACTAAATCCCTCAATGGCACCATTCCCTCAGGTCATCAGCCAGCTACCTGGAGGCAGGTTGATTACATTGGACTGCTACCATCATGGGAAGAGTTGCAGCTATTTGTTCTTACTGAAGTAGACACATATTTTGGATATGAATTTGTCTTCCTCACATGCAGTGCTTCTGCCAAAACTACCATCTGTGGGCTCACAGTATGCCGTACCCACTGCCATTTTATTCCTTCCACACAGCATTGCTTCTGATCAAGGAACTCACTTCACAGCGAAAAAATGAGCAGTGGGGTCATACTCATGGAATGTACTAGTCTTACCATGTTTCCTACCATCCTGAAGCAGCTGGTGTGATAGAATGGTGGAATGGTCTTTTGAAGATTAAGTTACAGTGCCAGTGAGGTGTCAGTACCTTGCAGGACTGGGACAAGGTTCTCCAGAAGGTTGTATATGCTCTTAATTAGTATTCAATATAT